TGAAGTACGATTCGAGAAGATTCGTTGCGGAGGTTTAATAACGAGAAGATTCGTTGTGGAGGTTCAATAACGCTCCGAGAAGTCTGGTTGCGGAGGTTGAAGTACGATTCGAGAAGATTCGTTGCGGAGGTTCAATAACGCTCCGAGAAGTCTTGTTGCGGAGGTTGAAGTACGATTCGAGAGATTCGTTGCGGAGGTTTAATAACGAGAAGATTCGTTGTGGAGGTTCAATAACGCTCCGAGAAGTCTGGTTGCGGAGGTTGAAGTACGATTCGAGTCAGCCGGCGATGGCAGGCCGATTATGGCTCTCTCGTAGCTGCTTTATATACAAAATTCAGCTGGTAATGTGGCCGTTGGTGTTGCCAGTGCTGGGTACCAGTGCTGCCAGATTTTGAGAGTCACCATAGATTTTTTGAACTCTCTCAAGTTTTGTTCTGATTTGCCTCCAGCATGTTTTAGTGCAGCACATGCATTCTCACGTACTTTGCGTGTGTGTTTAGTATTGCTGGCCGCTACATGATGCAATATATGCAAATTTTAGAATTAGCGCCAAGGCTGCACCCGAGGCTCTGCTCCCACAACTTCCGCTTCAATGCACATTTCGGAACACGAATAAATTTTACTCCCGGAACATGAATTCGGCAAAAAGTGCAATACGTCATTTTTTGTTGGTGGCTCGTAAGGGTTAAAACTTTATAAAAAAAATTCGTCCGCGAACAACCTTTCAAGCAAAAACGCACTGACGATAAGGGACAACACGAACGAGCTTCGGCTCCCGACGAGACCACCTTGTATGGTTCGTTGCTTTGATTTAGAGTATTTTGGGGCGCCATCGCTTAAAATCAGACTCCCACCGCTAGAAGAGATGAGCAGACTATCGCGTGGGCTGGCAGTGACTGAAGCAACAGCTGTTCAGATTGTAAACAAAGAAAAAACAACAAAACCAAAGGTCGCAGTGGAATTACGTTGTAATCGCCTACAGGAGGTGCCTAGAAATCGCAATTGGGGTGAAGAGATATCACGTAATCGGACGCATGTGCAGTCTACATGTCGAGGAGGAAGCCCACTTAGCGGCCATGGCTGGAAACAGGGACAGAACACTAACTTGCATCGAACTGTTCGACATCTGTTGGGAGGATGTGCTCATACCACATATGTCCATTTACCTGTCGCTAAAGGACCTATTCAATTTGCGTTGTTGCTCGCAAACAGCACGACGTTTTGCAGAGACAGCGTTGGAAAAGCGCCAGGAGCTTCACTTGTCCGGCAACAATACAAGAAATATTGATCTGGGTTTCCAGGTGGTGGCCCGTTGCTGCCGTCGGCTGGAGGTGTTGCATCTGGCATGCTGCAAGTGGCTGACCGATGATCTGCTGCTCCCATTACTGACCAATAATAAACACCGTCTCTGCGCCGTAAATCTCAATGAATGCGTTAACATTACGGCTCTGTCGCTGCAGCCGATTATAGTGGAGTGTAAGGACTTGCGGATTCTAAAACTGTCCAAGTGCCAGTGGCTAACCACCGGCGCCGTGGATGCCCTGACGTTGCATCAGAGCAAGCTGGTGGAGTTCGATATATCCCACTGCGGTGCCATTGGCGAGCGCTGTCTGATCATATTCTTCCGCAAGCTCAACAAGCTAACCGTCCTGTCGCTGGCCCATACACCGAGTGTCACGGATCAGGTGCTCATCCAGATCGGCAACTATTGCCGGGAGCTGGAGCACATCAATTTGATGGGCTGCGTGGCCATTTCCGACTATGGAGTGCAGTAAGTAATCCCAGAAATGGGGTAGGGGGTCTTCTACCCATATTTTGTTTTTAGTGAATGTTTACTTGCCCGTGTGTAGCGCTGTGTGTGTGTGTATGTTTGTGAGGCTGCTTGCCGACTGCACATTTCCGCATCTGCATATTTTTCTAGTGCTCTGACAGTACACTGCCTGCGACTCAGGACACTGCAAATCCGACGCTGTCCGCGGGTCACGGAACGTTCTCTGGCCCCGCTGCGCCAGCGACGGCTTTACATCGACCGGCCATGGCAGGACAATGCCTACAATGCCTACAATCTGAACGACTTCTATCCCAGCGATTTTCTTGTTTACTAGTCCTCCAAAAAAACTCGCTCTCTCTGCTCTCTCGTCCCTTTCCCGCAGTGCACTGGCCAAGAGCTGCCCCCGGCTGCAATCGCTGATGGTGCAGCGGTGTCCTCTGGTTACCGAGCGTGTCCTGGCTCCGTTGCGCGGACGAGTGCACCTGGACCGACCCAGCATGGGCTACAATCTGCCAGCCAGCCAGCACCATCGGCTGTTCCTGCAGGTGTGAGACATCTCTCCTCAACTGAGGAGGCTTTCGAGGCTACATGGAACAGGTTTTGCTCTGTAAATACATGCCACTGCATCGGACGCTTTAATTTACTTTTAGGCTTAATCATACCAAATGTTAACATTAGTTTATGCTGTACAATAAACTTATTTACTCCTATATAAAGCCAGTAGTTCGTGATTTCAGCCGCCACGAACTCTGCAATAAAATATGTAATATATATGTAATATAAAAGCGTGGCTAAAATAGGCCAATATAAATACAATAGTGTGTGAATTTGTGCGAATTCCTTCCGGTTTCCCATTCATTCATTGTGCTGATATCAATGGCGAGGTTGAGGTAGTCGCAGTCGTTGCTTTCGCTTCACCGTCTTCAACCAGCTTCAATTGCTGGACGGCGCTGGATAAAGTAAGATCGTGGTCTTCCTTGCCCTCATTGGATTTGGAACGCCACACTTCGTGAAGATGCTGTAGATGCACATAGGCGGCCATAGACATGTTCAGGCTGGGCATCACAGCACTGAGTCCAGGCTCACCTGTAAATGCCAAGCCACAGAGACCGAGGTACGTGTGAAATGGATCTGGCGTTGCCTGGGGCCACTTGGCGAAGCCCCCTACCAATGTGTCCTGCGTGCTCAGTATGTACTCTCGGTTCTTGGCATAGTCGGTCAGTTCGAAGCCATTCAGTATGCAGAGTGAGGCGCCAATCCAAAAGGAATAGCATGTGTCCACCGGTTTATTGGGTCGTCCCTGGAATCCATCCACTTGGCGAAAGATGAGCCAGCGCTTTATGCGCTCCAGTGTGGCAGCATGCAGGCGATCCAGCTGCCCGCTCAGCTGCAGAGCAGCCAACGCACAGAAGGTAGTACCACCGTGCGCTTCACCCTCCAGCTCCTGGCTGAAACCGTAATCATAGCGTAGGCTCTTTTCGATGAACTGGAACATAGCCTCCTTGTCCACATCGCCCCAATAGTCGAGCATGTGGCAGATGGTGGCGGCGCAGTAAACAAACCGCATATCATCCTCGCTGCCATCGATGCAGGCACTGAAGCTTCCCTCTGGCCGTTGCACCGCCGCCACACCATCTACAATACTCTTGCGATCCAGGCGCGACAGGTCATCGCCCAGCGTGACCAGAACTGCAATGCTGGTGTACGTCATGGCCAGGTGTCCCCATTGATACTTCCGCATGCATTCCAAGACCTCTGAATTCTCGGTAAGCGGCACCATAGCACGACAGCCCTGAAAAGAGGGGATCGGATCCATTAATTGATTTATCTCAAAGTGGGCTGTGCTGTGCTTGTTGACGGTTTGCTGATAAGGTCTGGCGTGATAAAAAACGAAGAGCGTGAGCGGGGGGGAGTTGTAAATCGAGCTGCTGCGCAAATGAAGGAATGCCAACACATATGAACACATATCATGATATGTGACGCAAAAACAAACTTTCTGGGTCTTCTCGGATAATTTGTTTCTTTTTGGGAGAATGAGAATTGTATATATTCAGCCGGAGTAAACAAAAAATAGCGCAAAACCAATACATTCGGGGGGCATTGAGGATGCGACAAGGTCTACCGCAGTGTCTGGCGTTGGTCCACGTATAAAGATAAGGGGGTATTGTTTGTTTTCTCACCATAAAACCGCCGCATCGCTTCTCGTTGTCGCGTGGCACCACCAGACCGCCGTAGATCCAATCGATGATGTCCTGTCGCATTTTCGGTGGCACCAAGTTCAACGAATTAAGTACATCTAGACCACAGACGGCAAAGAACACTATGGTGCTCCTGTGTGAGAACAGCAATGAATGCAATTGTAGGACTGGAAGGACTCTTTCCCGATGATCCTTCCACACTGCTTTCTGTCTCTCACCTGGTGTTATCATGCGATGCCATGCGCGCCGGCAGCATATTGAGAAAGCGCAGTAGATTCTTGGCATGCTTCGAGAGCAGCACGGGCTCCGGCTCTGTGCTGTTGTCTTCCATATCTATGTGGTAGGACATTGTGGTTATTGATATTGATTAACTTCTGGATAGGAACTAGTTTTCAGGGTGTGAGTGAGTGTTCTTTGATATGACTAAGCGCGACGTTGGGCCTTTTCTCGGAAGTTTCTCTGAGCACACGCTCGGAGCAAAAGTGCGCTTTAAGTGAACGTCCGCTGGCACGCGTACGCATTTAAATAGTCTAGCGTTTACCTTTTATTTATAACAACCCGGTTTGCATTGCAATATAGCCCTGCGGGAACGATATTTTTATCTGGGTTTTGCACAATTAAAAAAACAACAACAGCTGCTTCTTGACGGCTGCCAGTGGTGCCAGGGTGACCAATCAATGAGACGGTATATTTTGGTATATTTCAGAGGGTCACACTGGTGCACCTGCTTTTCTACTTTTTAAGCCTTATTTAAGAACAAAAATCCAGAAAAGAGAGTACTCTTGTAGAAAATGGAATCGTTAATGGTATAAAACTATGTGGGCTGGGCTGAGGGTTCTATCTAGCTAGTAATATTTGATGGAATATCAAAAACGAGGAATATGAAAGAACTTGAATAATTCGGTATATTTACGGCATATTTTCAAAATGAGACGGTATATTTTGGTATACTCCTGAGAGTCAGACCGTATATTTTATCATCCGCTGTCAGCTGTTTATGTAAACATTAAATTTGTTTAAATTATTACAAAATGCGCATAACACAGTTTTTGGCCAGCAAATTGAAGAACTTCTCCAATCTGCCCAAGGAGTACATTGAGCGCAGCAGAAAACAGGTAGGCAATACTCTCTCGTCTCCTCTCAACCACCCTTCAGTGTGGAGAGCGGCTCACGTAACAGCAGCATGGAAAAATAGCCGGGTTCAAAATATTCCAGATCATACATAGATTTATTTTCTTAATTAACTTTATTCAGGTGTATTGGCAAACTCCTAGGGAAAAAAATTACCTACCACGCACTGTGGAGCGAAAACGATTCCGCTACACCACAAACCGACCATGGACAGGCCAGTTCCGTCAACAGAATATGCCGGCCACCATGCGGCGGAAGGTGTTGATCGAGCCAGTTGGTGAGTATATATAAAAAATGTCCCCCCAAACACTGCTGAAATCATTTTTGTTTAAACTTTCAGAGGATTGGAGCTTCTTCCGCGGTGATCGCATTGAGGTTCTGGTGGGAAAGGATAAGGGAAAGCAGGGTATTGTCACGCAGGTGATACCCGAACGCAATTGGGTAATTGTGGAGGGGCTCAATTGGCATTACCGTCGCGTGGGTGCTGAGAAAGAGTTTCCCGGTATTATTATCAAGTCCGAGGCTCCGCTGCACGTCCTCAATGATATCCGTTTGGTGGACCCTTCCGATCTGCTGGGAACCGAATTCGAGTGGCGTTTCACGGAGGAAGGCGAGAAGGTACGCGTGTCCATGCGATCGGGCCGTATCATCCCCATCCCCGAGACGAACAACCAGACGCATGACTACAAAACCCCAAATGCCTACATAGAACGCGAAAAAGATACGCCAGGTAGGAGCTTCTAGGCGTTATATATAGAACATCTTCTGCTATAGTTATTTTCTGTTTTTTGTAGCGGCTGTTGTGGGTGAGATTACCTTCCAGCCTAAGCTGTCCACCTTCGAAATGGACATTATGGAGGAAATGGGCATCAAAGAGGAACGAACGCCAGCCAAGTCCTATTGGTACTAACTCTATCCTTATTTTTATTAGAGTAAAGTAAAAAAACACAAACACAAAGTGAGCAATCAAAAGGTTCAGTTGTATCATTTGCGCGCAGTACTGAAGACCTCCGCGCGATGATCGCGCAGTGTCTTCGATAAGCGGGACACAGTGCGTTCGGACTTGTCAAAGTCGATGCGAAGCGTGTTGTTGAATGTCTCGTACAGCCAAGTGCACGTCTTGGACATGTTGGCCTCGTAGGTGGAAAAGACACGGCTTGTGTGCTCGTAACTGGAAATAATTGAGCATGATTGAGGATCAGATTGGACAGACTAGATTTCCTTACCGCGCCTTGTTGGCTATGTCCGTGATCAGGTAGGTATTGCAGTGTTTGACGGCCAGCACTTGGCGATGACTCATGTATTTGAGCTCCACGTGGGGCAGGGCCAGCTGAGCAGCCTCCAGGGAGATCATTGATGCATGGAGCAGACTCCGGCAGTCCAGCGCCCATTGCAGCTTTTGTTTTGGATCACTACAGAATCAAAGAAGGAAGATAATGAATGAATTATTTTTCATCACTCTTCTATTCGTTTCAACGCACATGATCCTACTAAGCTGTCGCCACTGCTTTAGTGCCTGCGTGGAGGAGTTGGCGGCTGCTCGGAGCAGGAGTCCACAGATGCGCCACTGCTCCAAGGTACTGCCCAGCTTGTCGCGTGTATCGCGGGCCGTCTCCAGCTGCTCATCGATGGTCTCCTCCAGGCGGGTCATGTAGGTGCCACCACTAATGTACGCTATGATCCCATCCTGCCTTACATACAGCTCATTCAGCTCCGCATAGCTCTCGGCGAGCGTCTTCAGGCGCTCCTTGGTGTGCTCTAGCAGTTCCCCATAGTATCGAATGCTGAGCAAATAGAGCGCCGATTCGCTCAGGTTGGCAAAGAAATCCTCGTGCATGGAAGCTTTACGTGCGTCGCCAATCACGCCGAGGTTGTAGGCAAGCTGCAACAACCGGAAAGTGAAGTAAGGTCCATAATTGGCTTAAGGGAAGTGCTGTTGATAGTGTTAATTTCGAAGCACCTACCTGGGCCAGGTCTTTGGTGGGCGTGTTTGCCACAATTTGATTGCCGTCTCGTTTCTGGGCAGGGTAACTGGACAGGGTTAGCGCCTCCATTTCGGTGTCCTGCTGCTCTTCCTGTCGACGCTGTGCCACCTCCATTCCATCTAGACCCAACATCGCATCATGTTTGCCCTGCAGATGCTCGATCCAGGCCTCGGCGGTGGCCATTCTGGGTCCCGGACAACTGCCCTCCATCTTGCTGATCTGTTCGTCCAGCCGTACATATTCATCGATAATGTTCTGTGAACGTAACGTAACCGGATATTGATTTCGACTGGTGCTGAAATCCAAATGGCGGCTAATTACCGTTACAGCGGCACCATTTTGTTGCTGGCGGAATTCTGTGCTGACCTCTGTCACAACAGGATTCGATTGCGTCTCCATGGACGAACCGCAGCCCATCATTCATTGCACGAAGGTTCTGTCCAAACCTTATGACATGTTCCATTCGGGGTAGTCGGTCAATTTTCGGACCCCAGAACCAGAGGGAAAGTCCGTTAGTTCGTGGTTCGTCCTCGCCTGCCAAAGTGTGACTGACTGAGCTTTTGCCTTGTCCGCGCCAACTGTCCACTTATGAGGGAAAACACAATAACAACAATATTTTTCGCGCTAACCATTAAATGGGGCCAGGCCGCCAGCCCCCATCTCTACCATTAGAACAACGACGCCCCCCGAGGCAGGTGGCAGTTGCAGGAGCAGGAGGCTCTCTCGACGAACGTGCACGCGTGTGGTGTGTGTTTGTGTGTGTGTATGTTGTCAACAACCTGGTTGGTATTTGCTTTCCAATTTATTGTTGTTTTCGTGCCTCAGTTTTGTGGAAGTTCTGAATTGGCACAACAACAACAACAACAACAACAACTGCAGGTTAGAAATCTACATATACTAGATCCCATATACTATGGGATACCGTAACTTTTATTATTATAAAGCATTATAAGGTACAGTAATCTTTTCCACTTTTCATTGGGGAACCTTTCCTATACCGATAGCGAGAGAGCGGATCATGCGAGCGTGATTGACGCCGGACGCCTCTGAGAGGACACACATAAAAACATATGAATTTTCGCTTGCATCCAAGCATTCCCCAAGTGTCCCCAACGGACTCTACAATACCATATATGCCGTGTCTGCTCTAGGTACAGGGTATAAAAATGTTAACATATGGTCATTGTCCATCTAAAATGCAAGTTCACCTGAAGGAAGGGGGATGGGATTTGAGGTGGCCTTATGGGGTGGTGCCGGTGGGCGAGTGGAACCCTCAGAATATGAGGTATATACTAATCGACACACACAGCATAATCCATCAGTAGGATAATAATCTAGATTTTGATAAATTACCAACAAATTATGGGTTGACCATGGCCCATGGCTGAACAGGAGCTCGTTTGGTTCTCGCGCTCACGCTCATCGAATATTCGATTCTCTGCAATTATTAAAGCTTACTGGTTAAGGATAGGAAAATATGTAAATATCGTTAATAATGCATATACTATGAAAAAGGTGTTCGTTATATAGATAGAACCATGTAACTAATAGAGGAATTAACTGTTAAGAGAGCACACACAAAATTCCGTGTAATATAACTTTAAAAGTAAAATATTTTTTTGCTGATCTTGTGCTTGTTATTTAGCAATCAAATCCTTCCTCACGGATCTTGTGCTTGTTATTTAGCAATCAAATCCTACCTCACTGCACAGATCCATCAATAATGTATCAATACGTACATATGTATGTATGTATATTCTTTTTCCTTACCCCTCAGCCCTGAAGTACCGCTACTGAAAGACGCTTGGAGGTAGATTGGAACTGGAGCTGGGGCTGGATATTCCCTGGACAATTGTTGGGTAAGCTCCCGAGCACGTCACCGGGTGATTAAAAAATGTTCACCGCACTCCGGGGCTGGTACGTGACCATCATTCGGTCGAATATAAAATATAGAGTGCAGGCCAGATGACGCCTCGTATGAGCAATGAGTGGTGCAACAAAAACGGGGTAGAAATTAATGGGTCAAGTGAAAACATTTGAATGAGTTATAATCTGGCAGAGTGCCGACAGGCGACGAGCGACGAGCGTGGGACTGCGAAATGTCTAACTTGTTGATAAGTTTTTACCCACGTAGTGCTCTCTCACATATGTATACAACAATACGTATAGCGAAAGAGGCGAGCAAAACAGAGAATTGAGGGAGAGCCAGATGGCGTCGGCGCCTGCGCCATCCTGGAACACAAAGAGCCCAGATTTCACTTTCAATATTGAAAGCAAACGTCGGCTGAATGGAAACCGAAGCCCCGCAAATGCTTCGGACGCCTGTCTCGGACTCTGTTGTTGGCACAAGAAGATTCTGTTCAGTCGCAGCGTGCCTGGTGTGCGGCAAAGATGTCGTCTGCTGCAGTTCCTCGCCGTCGCCTGTAGAAATCAAAAACCTACATCACACACGCCTTCTCTCTTTCCTTCACCGGACTACGGTTGGATTTTTTAGACATGGGTCTGCGGGATACCTTCAGACTGCGCCCGGACAGTCCGTCGCGCGTGGGCAACAGCAGCATAGAGCTGCAGAACAGAGCCACACCGCGGAGTGGAGCCAGCTGCCACCATCACAATCAGGTTGGAGCTGTCCAGGTCACCGAGCAATCACTGCAGGTGTGGCGCGCCCTGCCCGCGGAGATTCGCCATGATCCCAGCATGGCCAGCTTTAAAATGGAGAACGAACGCATTCACGGTGAGTACCGAGAGAGAGAGAGAGGGGGAGGGACCTGCAACCCTTCATGAGTGGAGGAGACCTGTCCTCCCATTAATTACTTGACTGCCTGTCCAAGAGCTTGAGAAAGGTCAGGCCAAAGTCTGAGGCGCATCAATAATTCAAATGCTGCCTTTTTGTAGGCTCCTCTGGAGGTGCGAGCGATGACGACCCTGATGATGGTGGGGACTATAATGACGCAGATGTGGGTGACCGTATTCAGGATGAGCCCGGTTCCAGCTTTGCTGGCTCAGATTTTCTCGATATCAAGACCAAGCCGGGACAAGAGGAAAATCACACAGATGATGAGGCAACGACAACGCACTCGGATCACGATCCGGCCAATGGTCCGGGCAATGCCAAATCCATGGCCCGCCGCCTTCACCACAAATCCACGCGCTCCAAGGAGCAGCGCCAGTGGGACAAGCTGTGGAAGCGTCTGGGACTGCTCCTCTTCTGGCTGCTGGCCGCCGTCGTGCTCATCTCTGTGGGGGAGAAACACCTGCTGGAGAAGACCATCGATGTGCCGCAGGGCGATCAAGGGAAAAGTGAGCTTCGACGGCGGAAATTCAATTTTAAATTTAAATTTAAACTATTACTTTCTTATCGTAGTTTTCACTTTGGTGCAAAAACCAACTGGCGATTTTCGTCTGACGATCCAGGGCGCCTTCGAGGAACTGTCACCGACGGACAATGAGAACGAAACCATTAGCTATAGCTATCTGTTTGTGCAGCCGCAGGTGTCCGCTTACATTGGCGATAATCGCACTACAAAGGTGTTCCAGGTGAGCCGTCTAAAGTTGTGGCAATTCATTCCATCACATTCATTCCCATCCGCCCCATATAGAACACTTTGCAGGCCTGGCAGCTACCTTTACTGCCTGATGATCAGCTGGAACGTGCTCCGTCTGTGTCCAGGAATCGTACGTACCAAATGAGCTCCGAACTGAGCGATCTTCTGGCCCAGCCGAAGAGTGAGATGCGTTTGCACATCTACAGCGATGCAGCCACAGATCTGGCGGTTATACTAAGCTATAATCCCTTGATAGTCAACGCTCGAATAGGCAGCATTCTGGCTGGTCTTATACTCCTGATCTTCTATGCTCTGTTGGTGTGGGAGCTGTTCGAGCGACCCTTCATAGCCATGGTCTGTTCGATTCTATCGGTCACGGCTCTGGCCTGCTTTAATGGTGAGTGATTAGAGCGCAGCAGGAGGTAGCATTCAATCAACATTCAATAATGTTTTACAGATCGCCCAAACATGGATGAGATCATCCAGTGGATGGACATGGAGCTGCTCACTCTCCTGTTCTGCATGATGCTGCTCATCCTGATACTCACAGAAACGGGGGTGTTTGATTATCTGGCCGTGTTCTGTTTTGAGATATCGGGTGGCAAGATTTGGCCCATGATCTACAGTCTTTGTTTGGTGACCTGCCTGGTGTCCAGTGTGCTGGACAACATGACCACTGTCCTTTTGCTTACACCAGTGGCCATTCGCCTGTGCGAGGTGATGCAGCTGGATCCGCTTCCGGTCGTGATGGGCATCATTGTGCATGCGAATATTGGTGGGGCCCTCACACCCATTGGGGATCCCATCAGCATTATTGTCAGCACCAACCACTACATTGTGGAGAATGTGAGTTTGAACTATATCCCAATTCCGTTCCATTCTTGATCTGTGTGTCTCCTATGGAGATAGGATGTGACTTTCCTTACCTTTGTGGCGCACACCTTTCCGGGCGTCCTGCTGGCCGTGATCCAAAGCTGTGTCTATCTTCGCCTCTTTTACCACAACATCGACGCCCTTCGCCTGAACGAACCTAAGGAGATGCGCGAACTGCGACGCGAGATCAAGGTCTGGCAGCGAGCTCTCAATGCCGTGGGCTCCTGCTCCAAGGATGCGCAGCTGGTGCGCGGCACCCTCCAGGGAAAAGTGAAGCAACTAAAGCGGACGCTGAGACGGCTGCAACGTGGAGTCGGTTCCACAGAGGTCTATGCCAACACCCTGGATGAGCTTAAGCAGAAGGTTCGATGGTTATGTCCTGCCAATACCCAATTCCAAATGTTACATTTGATTTCCCAATCCACAGTACCCCATCAAGAACAAGACGCTTCTGCTGCAGTCCGCTGGTGCTTTGATCTTTGTCATCGTCTGCTTTTTCATACAGTCGGTGCCTCATTGGAGGACTCTGCCCCTGGGCTGGGTAGCTCTACTAGGTGTCATTCTGCTACTGATCATCCTCAATCGCGACGACATGGAGCATCTGATGCACCGCATCGAATGGACCACACTACTCTTTTTCGCTGCCATGTTCGTGATGATGGAGTGCGTGGAGCGACTGGGCCTCTTCGCCAGCATCGGCGAGCTCACCGAGCACGTCATCCTCTCGGTGGACAAGCGACATCGCCTGGCTATGGCCATCTTCATAATACTGTGGGCCTCGGCCCTAGCCTCGGCCATTCTAGACAGCATCCCAGTCACGGCAATGATGGTCAAGCTTGTTACCTCGCTGGTTTCCAAGCCTTCGATCTGCCTGCCGCTCCAGCCCCTAGTCTGGGCATTGACCCTGGGTGCCTCTCTGGGCGGCAACGGCACCCTTTACGGGGCCTCGGCCAATGTAATTGCCGCGGGGATAGCCGAACAGCACGGCTATAAGCTTTCGTTCACGCGATACCTGAGGACCGTATTCCCCATGATGATGGGACAGATCACCCTGATGACAGTCTACCTTCTGGTGGCCCACATTGTATTTGGCTGGCATTGAACAACATATGACATAAATGGCTATTTATTAATAATAATCGACTAGTTCTGTGAATAATGACTAGACTTTTTCGAACTAAATATTTAATGATACTTTTTGTGTAAGTTTTACTGTGGCACCTTTCTTCCTGTTTGTATTCGTCTCTTTGTGTCTCTTTGCGTGTGTTAATGCTCTCTTCTACGATTATACGAGTATATGTGTTTATATATTATATATCTGAGCGTTTATTTGTGATTTGGAATTATATAAATATACAAAAAGTGATGGAAGTGTGTTTATTTGTACATACATATACCCGTACGCTGTGGCTGGACAGCTGAAAATGAACAAACTTTTCGGGCTTCCCAAGGTTGTCTCAACATATCAAATACGACTAAGTACAGTAGACTAAATATAGATTGGATCAACTTGATTGTCCACTTGTGGACAAAACGATTGTACAGTCGAACTTCCATAAAGTGAATCATAGCAGAATATAGAGTGGCGGTGTTGTGGAAATAAATTCGTTGTTCGAAAGTTTGAAATATAGAAGTTCGACTGTTTGTAAAGTAGATTCAAAACAACTCTTAAGTTAATTTAAAACTATATTTATATCACACTTCGTTATTGTTTTAGAGCACTGTCTATCCATACATTTATTGCAGCCATATTTATTTTAGAAACCCCGTCATATCATGCGTTCTTGAACTTGCTCCACTTGCGTTTAGGAAAACGAAAGAACAACAAATAAATAATACTTGAGACTGGCCATCGGTTAGTTCATTGCAGAACACAAGAATTATGTATATAGGAACCAGTATAGGTATATAGAATGGGTCTGTAGTATATAGAACCCCGAGTACATAGAAAAACAAACGCTGGTCAATAAATGAGCGTAGGCAAAATTAGAATAGAAACAAGGGATTTGCTCTTCTGCTGCTGCGCTTTCCACGCTTTCCATGGTGCCTTTTCCATTGCTAAATTGTATTTTAAGTTTTACGCTCAAACCGACGACGTGTCAGCCATGTGAAGAGAGGACCGCCAGCAGTTTTATGGCAGACACGCGAGGGAAAACCAAACTGAGAAAAACCGTTCGGACGCGGCATGGGACAGATACAGATACGTCGTGGAAAGACAGCGCAACATTTTTAATTAATTTTCTTCTTCTAGTCTAAATTGAATAATATCCAAAGGGAAGGCCAGTGAAGATGTGATGAAAATACCAAACCGTTAAAGTTGTGTTAAGATTTTGAGGTTTTTTTCTGTTTGTGAAGTGAAAATGTCTGCTCCCTATGGCTACTCGAAGCCCACGTTCATGATAACCGACCACTCCCGGGATCCCTACCATCTGCATGTGGAGGAGACGGCCGATGAGGATGAATGCGATGCGGACGGCGATGGAGAGGTGGATGTGGAGCGACACTCTAAGCTGCAGGAGATCATCAATTGGCTGCATCTGAATGCCAAGCACCCACGTAATTGGTAAGTCCCCCAACATCAAGTATACGCCACAGGGATGCTTCACCCATTCCCATTCCTATTTTATACGCACAGTTATTTGTTCTCCCTTGTCTGTTTATATTTTGGTTCCATTTTCTCATTAGCAGACATTTAATTGTGGTCAGTCGGCAGGAGGGTCTTTGCCCAAAAACTTTTCCTTTTAATGTTTCCATGCGACGGTCCGCTTTTGTTTGTTTTTCCTTCGAAAACAATTTCATGGGGTATTAGGTCTCTGTGTGAACTTTAACAGATGGAATTTCCTATTGAGATTAATTTCAATTGATTTGTTTTTCCTCTGGGAAGAAACACAAAAATTCGCTTAAAAGCAATAAAATATCCAGGATATCCTGCAGGGTGGTGGATACACTCGGTAAAGCGGTCGATATCTCAAAGTTAACCCAACAATAAATCAACTACGATGATTTTTCCAGGCAATAATTTCAGCTACTATATTTTAGAAAACAAAATCTTTTCTTTACCTCTAGGGTTATTCTTCAAGGCAATAATTTTAGTTATGTATGGTGGGCGTCATTTCAAAAACAAAACAAGCTGTCAATAGAACAGTAAATGAATATTTGTTGTTACTTTGTGTAGATGGCAGGGGAAGCATTCTCAATAAGTAATTAAATCTTATGGTAAGAACTGCCAACAAGTATTCACTAATTCCGCGAATACAATATACAATATTTATAAATATGCCAGGCTATTCACCTGTCAAGCCTGTTCACATCTTTTGTTTGGAAAAGCTGCTGATTCGTGGAATAGTTAGCCAATATATATATGCTTTGTTCAGATTCAATAGCACATTCAATAATTTAACAGAACGTGCGAAAAAACAATGTCAAAAGAAAAGGCACACATTTTATGACCCAGCATTGAAGCTTATCTCAGATCCCCGGTAACCCAAACCCAAACCCAAACCCGAACCCCAAGAAGTCACTCCGTAAGCAAATTGTGACTCAGTAAACTCGGTAGCGCTTTGTATGTAATATTCTGTAATATATCTGAGCATCACAGATCCAGACTCATAATTGACGGCACTATAAACACTCCCACACATAGTCAGAGTCGCAGCCTGTGTTATCTGTGAAGTGGAAACTGAGAGCTCATAGATGCAAAACGTTGTTCTTCAATTAAAAGTTCCGCTTTGTTAATTAACAATTAAAGGGAAAACTTGAGATTGTAATTCACTGAGTTCTAGTCTTGCCTAGGAACTGTTAATAATACAGGGTGTCAAATCAGGTGAAGAAAAAACCATACTGTCGTGAATGTTTACATTCATAAAATGTATATATATTTTCAAAAATACATAATCATTCATGGAGAGATAAGAAAAACCCACTTCAGGCAGCCTGTATGTTCAATCAATACTCCATCTTAGTGTAAATATCTACATTGAAGACAAACAGCGTTGACAGACAGCAATCACCCAAATAGTCTATCTATCAATCTACTATGATGAGGATCAAACAACTCCCTCGACAACATGCACAAGTCCGAGTAGGTTTCAAATAGATTAATGACAAACAACATTGTTTAAACATTCAATTCCCTAGAAATTCTGTAGACTTTACAGACAAAAGATATCTATACTCGTAAACATTTATCATCACTCTGGAATATATTTACAATCCAATCTAAGTTATCAAAAGTAATCATTTAATTGCTTTAAATGCAGTAGACACCCTATACAGTGCCCGAACAAAATCCTCTGGCAAAACACATTAGTATGCACTCGTTATTTACATAATTATTATTTATTTTTTATGAACACTCAGTGTGCCTTCAGTGCTGCCTCAAGTGGGGCTTGGGAAATTCTTATACGAGTATGCACTCACCACTCACGAGAACCAGTATATTCGTATTTATTAGCATTTTAGTAAGTAGCGGTAGCAAGATAACATAACATACAGCAATAATAGCCAGTTCTAACCAAGTGCCATTGCCTGCCATTGTCTATGGTCATTAGTAAGCAGAGGGAGAGTGGGATTGGAAGTGGGATTGGGTGAAGTTCTGTTGACCTTCAGGTAGCCTGTCCGGACCGTGAAACTGGCCTTGGCATTGACAGCTGACAATTTTGATAGTGTGTGCTATTAATTTCAACCTCCTGGCACCCACACATACGAGCCAATACCACGTGATACTAACCAAAAGAACATCAAACCCGGTCTTAGTGGCCTGACGATGATGACATGTTGGCTAGGAAAGGCCACATGTGTATATTGTTTGCGGATACTTGGGCTCGAGGAGGGTGGAGGAGGAGGAGGTACATGTGGGTTTTCCGACGTAGAATTTTCATTTCAACTGTAAATACTTATTTGTGGCGAATAGTTTGAGCTTAGGGGCTGTAAAAGTTCCGGTTTGCATATACATATGTACGAGTATATGCCGAGTGTTTCCATATATAGTACAGTACATAGTGTGGCATAGCCTTGCTCCCACAGCGTGTGAATAAATTATGTATAAGCTTCATAATGGGCTGCGGTATGGGAAATACTTAAGGGACAAACTTGTTCAACTTTCAAGAGTCTGTCAGAGTAACAAGTAATAAAGTTTAAACAGAAAACAGAAAAGCTAAAGTGCTTACATTGAAAATGGTGCTGTACAAATTCATTAGATAAATAAATATTAAGCTGAGAACTGGAAAAGTCACAGCAATGCTGGAAAATGAAAGTTTCCATGGAAAGGCATCATCTGACTATTATCTTTTGGGGACATGTAAGTCCATTATAGATCCGTGTATACATCTTTGTACATATGTAAGGTATTATTTGGTTATTATTAATTGGTAATTATTAGTCTGGAAAGTGCAAGAACAATTAGTTTTAACCTCACGGCTTGATCTCGGTTGGTTTTTGTGCTGCTGCTGAAAGTTACGTTTAGCTGCTGCAATTCTCTTTTTACAACTCGTTTTGCTGTTCCTCCTTTTCTCTGCTGTGCTCTCCCTCTGTTGTTTCTGCTCGACTGCTGTTCATCTGCTGTTAATACCGTTCTGCTGTTACATCTGCTGTTACCGTCTGCTGTTTGTCTGCTGTTGATCTGCTGTAACTGCTGTTACTTTGCTGCTGATCTGCTATTACGCTCTTGCTCTGCTGTTACTGCGTTGATCAGCTGTTACTTTGCTCCTACTGCTGTTGTCCTGCTGTTTGTCTGCTTTTGCAGCAGATGCTCTGCTGTTATTCTGCTGCTGAATGCTGCTGTTCCCCGTCGCTAACCACTGCTCCTTCAATGGACGAGCTTGCCCACTCCTTCTTACATATATCAAACCAAGCCTGTTGCTTTAAGGACTTAGAACCAGAATCCAAGTTCCATAAATGCAGGCTACAGAAAATTGCCAAGCAGCAGCCTCATACTCGGTATCTATAGAGACATATGGGGCTGCACCCAGCTCGCTGATATGCGTTCCTATGGACAAACCGTATGGACCTTGGAGCCAATGCACAATTATCGTTAGCTATAGCGACACCCCCCACCAACTGCGTCGCACTCTGCAGCTATTATCATTGCTATTGAATGTGGGTGAGGAAAATTGCTGAATAAAAGAGCGTAATAAAATTTCACGCTTTAAAGCCGCTCAAGTGTCAGGCTGCTCGTGCCAAGAACTACTTAAAGAGATACCTACATCAACTCATACTCGGTACAGTAGCAGCTGTCTTGGGCGGACTCTTTATATAGTCCCGAAAGGGATTCAACGCCTCAAGGATACTCTTTTTTCGGGGTACAAAAGTGTTTAGCTCTAGCTTGTACTAGATTTGTAAGCACTGTCCTCCCAAGAGACCTTTCACTGTATATTCAACGAGTGTTTCTATTGAATGTGTGTTCATTTGTTGCTTCATTGTCATTGGCGGCATGTCCCGGGGCGGGGCGGAGTGGAGTGGGCCTCGGGTACGTTTATTTTGTGCGAATTTTGGGGTTCTGTATATTCAATAAAACTCAGACAAACTGAGTTGGAAATGCAAAGAAATCGACAACATTGAGACAACGCAGAGCCACATGCCACAGTTTGCATGTTCCGTTTGATAAATTTGCCTTTTGTCTGCTGTGCCCACATCCATGTCACCCCATGTACAAGTATTGTATATTATGTGTATGTGTGGCGTGCATGTGAGTGTATATCATCTCAATTTGGAGCTCTGCTTTACTCTGTTGGGATTTATCTTGTTTGGCCTATAAATAAACGATTTTTTTTATGTGTTATCATTTTGATAGAGCTGTTTTTCAGAGTTTACTTTCACTTCTTTTCAACATGAATCTTGACTTACTTTATGGCATTTTATGGGATCTATGGCAATTGCTTTGAATTCGTGTTAATTGCTTCGTAAATATGGGTATCCTTGAAAAAACTAAGATGAGAGCTGATAGAGCGGTTTTTACGCCTAAAATTTGATTAAAATACGAGGAGAGGAATAACTAAACAATAAATGTAGAGACGTTAAAAGAGTTAAGTTAAGTTGTCCACGCAAAGGAGTATTCCCTGTCGTTTTCACAAACGACAAACAAATTAGCACGGTCAAAAAGTGTATGCATGGAGGCTGACTAACTGAAATTCTAGGGCCCAGAGTCTAGTCCAAGCACCGTTCAAGTTCAAGTCGTTGGCCACTGGAATGAATATACTATACATGTGCAGTGGAAACAACCCTCACACAGGCCTAACCCCCCACACATCCACTAGTAGCGGCATTCAACAGCTATTGAAAGCGTTCCACACCATTCAGTTGACCGGTGGCTTTCAATCCGCCATTCAACCGAGAACAGCTGCGGCAGAACCGACGCGACAACAGAGTCGTCATCGTTGTCGTCGTCGTCGGCAGCGGCAGCGCCAGCGCCAGCTACCGGCATCGAACCAGCCCAGAGCCCAGAGACATGACTAGGAACACGGCGACGAACCCACGGACTTATTCAGTTTACAACTTTCGCTCGAAACGGACGTGCGACTGTGTCCGGGTTCGATCTGCGGGTTCGATCTGGAAGCGAGCGAGTGCCAAACAAAATAATCCAATAAATAAATTCACACATAATACAAATAATTATCCAAATGCGATAAATAAAACAAAGAAAACAAAACTAAAAGTGAGACAAACAATTTTGATAAAGAATACAGAAAGAACCACTTTCTGGACTTATCAGTACCCCCCTTGGAGTTCATTCGGATGCAGAAGCAGTAGGGGCAGCAGCAGCGGCAGCAGGGAGATAAAAAAAAGACGAATCATGGAAATTTTCCTTTGTTTGAAAGAGAGGCGTATCTTGTTTCAGGAGCTCCCCCAAAAGTTTCCATTTGCTGCGATAATTTTGCTCATTAGGAGACCCCAAAAAAGAGCAATATCTTTTGCATTAAGTGTACATATCTTATTAGTCCGGTTCTGACTGACCAGCAGAATAATTGGAGACTGGTCTACACTTTGTGGATATAAATTATTCCAAGGTTTTCTGTGAGAACTGCTGGATGGAGGTGCAGGTGTCTGGCACCTGGCTGGCATATGTTTCAGTATTTACACATTCGTGATTAAAATTTCCAGCGGACGAGACATTCCAAGAGCTACGGTGTATACCCGTGGCTATCAGTGGCTGGCAAATATTTCATCATTTATTGATGGTCGCACCTCCAGGAACAGGAATCCACCCAATCAATAATTGAGCTCCCGACAGGCCACGCAAATAAGCCATACATTAAGCTGGACAAATATAACTGTCAGGAAGTGTCATCTATGGCATAGAGTAGTATCACATCATCAGGGGGGGGCAGTGGTCTGGGGCAAATGAAAACAGAAAAACTAGTTCAAAACAGCGCGCACAAAAGTAGGCAACACGAAATTTGAGCACGCACACACGTACCCATGGCCGCCTGTCTATCCTTGTGTCAGTTTAAAGCTTTGCCCAACCTTGTCTGACATTCATTTGAAATGTTCACATCTGTCCGAAAGTATGTAGCCAACCACAGAACACAGAACGCATCCCACAGCCAACGCTTTTCAACAAGGACCCTCCGCCCGAGGGGGTCCAGATATGATTGAAGCCAACATTTATGACTATGTATGTCTTTCAACGAAATTTCTAATAAATTTTAAGTGCTTGCTGGAGGCAACCTCCCCACCCCCAGCTGAAAACTTTTTCTGGCGTTAATTTGGCAAGGGATCTCTTTTGGGGAAAAACAGAGCACGAAAACTTTTCCTGACAAACATTGTCAAACAGTCAGTTCAAATTACCCCTTGGGCTGAGCTGCTACTGAGTTCGGAGTTCTTTGCTGGTCTTGTCGGTTGGCAGCAAAGTGTAATCAATTAGTAATTAGCCAATAGATAACATGAAAGTATGTGAATAATAAGCCATGAAGCCATGATGCCATGGGGCAAGAGATAAGATCATGTTGTTGACTACTTAGTGACGTTTAAAGAAGAGTTAAGGATACAAATATCCTAATTCCTTTTGTAGGCAGCTTTGGCTTATGCTTTTCCATTATGGCTAAAATACTGCTGGAAATACTCGTACATATTTCTATTATATGTATATATTTATCGGTTGAAATGTTAGCTGAAATGTGTGTAAGCAAGGTTTCTGTTTTTGGCACCTCTGCGTAAACGTTCTCTACAGCTAAGGATTGCAAATATTTGACTGGCTTTGAAATATTGATACCACACAGCTAATATACATAAATTTCAGCTATTATTTCTATCAAAATATGTATATACAATATTGTTGAAAGCAATTTCCGCCTTTTGCACAGGATATTTTTGGAATTACTCCCCCTCCAATCACACTGGAGGTAAAAAGGCCAGCCAGGACACGTGTCCGTTTTGCATATATGTATGCATGTTTGCATGTAATCGTATCCCTTACCCGCATAGCATATCGTGTCCACATCCTGCTGGAAATTCCCACACAGATGGCCGCGTAACGCCTGCCATAATTTGAAATGAGGTCGGGGTCTGGGTTCATTTTTAATTATGCGGCAGCCAAATGGCTTAATGTGCGAGAGTTTAGGCAAACTAATTAGCCACCGACAAGCATAATTAAACAGAACTTAATACACGTACGCCACACACAGACAAAACGAAAATCAGCTGGAGAAACGTGCTCCACGAGCACCAGACAGATGATGGAGATGGCGTCATCAAGGGGGTTCATCTGACCACCCTACGAGCGGGCGGTGTGCTTTGGTGTGCCAACTGATTTGGCTGATTATAAAAAGGAGGTCATGAGAAAACTAAATGAATATTGATCGATTGATTCCCAATTAAACGAGAGTCGAAGTCCTGTCCTGCGTCTATTTTTGTCCCACCAAATGCTGAATGCTGAATAATTAATCCTCTCGCTGTGACGCATTCATCAACATCAAGGGGGCATACTTCAGGGATATTTATATCTATCAACATGCATATCATTAACAACTGGTCAAAATTTACCCCCGAAAGCGTTCGAAAGCAGACAACGCTGCGTATGCGTGATTCGATTCTATGAAAAAGAGGCACAAAGAAAAAACGTCACACACATCAAAATGTACAAGAGAAAGGCCTGAACCTAAAGAAGCAACGTTTGCTTGCAGAAACAATAATTATTATTAAATAGATAAAATTCTATCCAAGGAAAGTTAACATCAAAGGTCGTGTGAATAGCGTCAGCAGCTTAATTAATTTAATACCCATCCACCCACACATCCACCCATACCCCACTTTGTCCGGCCTTCCACAAAACGTCAAAATTGCGCCAGTTCGGGTTCACGCCGCACCTAGTCCCTTGGCAGAGTCCCAGCCCCCTGCCAATCAACACCAACGCCAGGCGACAGACACGGCCACAGTGGGTCACAGTGCCGGATCAACGGTATCGCGGCGCCGGAGTGGGTCGGGGGGTGTCCGGGTGCCGAGTGTCCACAAGAAGCGCAAGAACATTTGGCCCTTCAAGATGCGGATGAAGGTGAGCAAGCGGCTGTGGCCGCACCGCCAGGCCTCCACCAAGAGCGACAAGTTCCCACAGCCAAAGTAAGTGAATCATACCCTAATCCCCTACCCCTACCCGTAAGACAAGTGATTCAGATACGTGTACATAAATATTTGATGGATCCATTCAGATGGATTTAAAATAACTTTGAGATACAACCAGTATAAACATTTGCTGATGATGTTTTTCCATCAAAATATTAAATATACATAGAAAATATAATTTAAATATTTTGTATGAAGATGACTGTAATACAATTTGGCTTAGCTATAAATAGGGTTTAGGGGAATAGTTCCTTTGGCAGCATGACGTTCGATGATGGAATTCATGGGAGCTACAATTTGGAGTACAGTACACACTCCGGATTCAAATACAATAAACGTCCACAAATCCTAGCTAGGCATTGACATTACCTTAAAAGAAACAGTCTGAATAGCATATAACTTCAAAAACACAAAGTTTTTACTTCTCTTTCGTGTTAGAATTGTTGAAAGATATACCTATAGATGGGTCCATTCTGGCCGGTTGCCACAGCTGCCTTGCTGCACTCAGTTCGACTGGAGTTCGAGAACAGCTGTTCGCCAGCCCCGCAATTGGGCAGCTTTATATTCCTTATAGCCGCAATGCTGCTCGCTTGGGATATCAATATATACATCAAGGACGGGGTGCATTTGTCGTGTTTGGCGCAGTTCTTTGTTGGCACCTTTGCATCGCTGGTTATTTTGGAGTTCTTTAACCTGAAGCTGTGGTGCTGGCTGGAGGCTTGGCTCTGCCAAGCAGCGCAACATTTGTGCCTCAATTGGGGCTTGTTGAGCGAAGAAACATATCTGGAATACGAGTATTGGATTCTTGGAGCTGTGACATCTGCAGCTGCCACGTTTATTTTGTGGTTTTTTGGAATGCTCACTTTGCCGCACTTTTCGCCTCGAGACCTCCAGAAAGTGACCATAACAAATGAGTTCCAGCAATGGGTAAATAATCCACGGAAAAGGAGGTATCCCTTTAGGCCCCGCTAAGATAAAACCATTGAAATGTGATATCCAAGTTTGGAAACAAAATTTATTGTTTGTCTAAATTGATACGCATACTGTATATTAATTGAATGAATAAATTAGTTGAAGTGGTCTTACCTACAAATAGGCCTACAAATACCAATGAAAGGAATTCCCGATTTGTGCTTTAGAGATCCACCATTCCTGTGGATTGGGACGCTTGGGGCTTATCCTTTGGGTAGGCGGAATTCAATGGAGTCAATGAAAAACGGTGTTTTGATTACTTTACACACTTTCAAATTATTCATAAAATTGTCCAAAGAAAGCCAAAAGTACGATTGTTTTTAGTAAATCCATACCAATCAAAACAGAATTTTCTTTGAAATTCGGGACTGCTTTAATAAAGTACCACTTCACCTACTTCAGTTCAAACGGGTCTCTTAGGACCATAAACATAAGCAGAAGCCCCTCTTGTGATTCGGATGAAAGCATTCGGTCTTGTTGAATTTCAAGGGAACTACTCATAGACATGGGATTTCCTTTTGGTTATTTCCTTTGAAGATTTCAAGGTTCCTTGTGTGGTATTTGGTGTCTTTATAGCTCTGCCATTACAAGGTTTCTATCCTGGAACTGGTCTCTCCTAGGATGATTTCCGTTAGTGCATAAAAACACGTATATTTATATGTTTATTTGTGTGTTTCTTGAGCCCAAGTCTAAGACACGTGCTCTGGACCCATTCCTAGGAATGGCAGGCATAGACTCGACCACAACATAAACATGAACATAAAAACGTTCTCTGTTTGGGTCTAATTTACGTCGAATGGCAGCAACATGTGTGGCGTGCCACACCAAGATGTGGCAGTCTGGCAACAAACATTTAATTTCCGTTTCCAGAAACAAAAACAGGACAAATATGGGAATCTCGTTTCCGCTCGGTTGTACCCCCATTCCCATGTTCCAATAGAAAACAATAATACTTCATTGAATTTGAATGGAATTCATCGGCATATTTTCTTTGAGGGCAATCAGGTACGGCACTCGTATTGGCATTCAAGCAAATCAATCTATCCATCAATCAGACAGCTCAGTGGGGCATGCATGCCGTTGGGTCCTCAAAGTGTCCTGGCAACGTGCCTGGAATTCTCTGAGTGAAAGTTGTCCAAGAGCAATACCAATTAATTCGTTGGGTCAAAATCAACAAAAAGAAGGGAAAACGAAGACGTTCGTTGACTTCAGCAATTAATTCTCAATTTGTCTTCCATGTTTTTTCGGATAATCGACAAATGTTGACCCAATGCCTAGAAGAGGGCAACCAATTTGAATGGGACAGCAGTGCGTATGCACTGCCACATCGCTCATTCGCCCCATGGGCTGGGCTGGGCAGCAGTTAAAAATGGGAAGCCATCAACGCCTTCGCACCCCTTCCCCCTCCAATGTGGGTCAAACTTTGGGGAGACCGTCCCTGCTTAGTTCGCGAGTAAAAATTCTTGCATAAAACGCGTCCAACGCGACGACCTCGTCTGAGCCGACAAGGTCATGGGCGGTAAGTGTGCCCCTGCCCTGCCTCTAGCTTAATCCCCCTACCCTGCCCTGCCTCGAGAAATTCTGCATTGTTCTTAGCACATTCAAAATGTGATTATGAGCCTGGAAGGATATGAGCGTGTGCGTGAGTGCTTCTGCTGACGACAGCAAGTGCCACAAACATGGCCACATGAATAATTAAAACATTTAATGCTGAAATTGGGTTAAGGCACAGTGCAGTTGGTTGCCCCTCATGCGACCCGACCAGCTGTGAGCCCAGATTGACATACAAAAGGAAAGGTCAGGTGTGGTAGGGTGACAGCTGCAGGATACGGAGGTCGGCCGTACTGGTGCGACAAAAATACTACTCTCATAAATAACATTAATATAAATTTATACCATTCTATTTACATAGAATAGATAATTTTGATTTGATCAGTACAAAATACAGAAATTGTTTGCATCGATTAGGTCTATAAAAAAACTCCCATGTTTGAAATCATACGTTCAATAACTGCACTTCGATGTACAATGCACGATGATGCTGTAAACGAGAATCAGTTATAGAATATGTAGAAATTACAAATTCAAATGAACAAGGCGGCACTCCTGTTATGCCAGCTATTTGCATACTACACCTACAGCTGCATGTTGTTTCCCTCCCTTCCTGCAGTAGCTTCCCACATGGTCGGAATGGCTATTCCCAGGCACAGTTCTAATGTTCATGGTGGCGTAGTCGTCGTTGCGAACGTGTGACTATGAAGTCATTAGGAACGTGTGCGATTTGCTTCTGTGGAACTGGTGCTGGTGCTGGTGCTGGAGCTTGGTGCGGATCGGATTGGATCGGATCACTGGGTTGGCAATTGAAACGTGTCGGGCCAAGCGCGTTGTTCAATTAATTAACTCACATTTTTCGCAATGGAAAGTTACCGTCGCGCCGCGCCATCAAGAGACTTAACATGCTAATCGGGATTGAGAACTGAGAAGGCTCAAGCGTATGGCACAGCATACCCTCCCTGCCACGAAAGCCTCCTCCTCTTGGGGTTATAAATAAACTTTAAAGTCAACCTCACACATGAATCGGCGGCGGCAGTGGCGGCGGGTACAATCCACTCAGCTAGCCAGTGCGGTTCCAGGCTTTCAATTCTCGAAAAAATTAATGAAGCGTGTCGCATTGAAAGCGCCACATGAATGACATCCCCGCTGACGGAACGGAACGGAACGAAACGGGACTTGGACGCGACGAGAGGCGGCGGACCAACGAGTGACCGACTGGATGAAATTACGTTTTTATATTTTTTTTTTCGGGTCTGGTCTGTAATTTTGTTATCAACTTTGTCGCACAATGACCTACATATGTATATATGTCTGTATAAGCACGTCCAACTAAGTATAGCCTATTCAGATACATATATGTATGTATGTAGTGGGTGTGGGTGTGCGCACGCCTTGCTTAAGTAAGTTTAAGTTGATTTAATATACGAGTATCCGTAATCCCGAAGAATACGAGCCAAACTGTTTGATGAGCGCGTGTTCATTTAATTTAACAAATGGATAAAGTGCGTGCACTCTCAAAAATATACCACTCGAGATGTTTTCATACTAAAGTAAAAAATATTTTCTATGCTCAGTTTATTTTTAGAAATTGATTTCTATGAATAGATGAAGATCACGAACAAGCCCTGCGGGCTTCTATATGTGTATCTCGATTGATGTTGATCTTAATCAATGGAATTGGTACTTTCAGATAATTGTTATTGATAAAGACAAATAGAAACAGAACCACATTGTTCGCAAATCGAATTCTAAAACCTGGTACAATAGAGACTTCTCAACTCGAACTTAATTAATTTTTAAATCCGCTTTTCTCTTAAGCTCGACTCAGCAAGTAATAAAGTGTCTGCCAATAAGTTAGCACCACAATATCTTCTACTCGTAAAACAGATAAACATTTTAGGTATCTGTCACATAATTTACCCAATTGAATAATCTCTTGTGATATTAACTGTCGAAAATTTGTTCTAAGTTGAATAGGGTTTTGTAGATATAAGCTTTAAATACTGAGTTCTAATAAGTAGAAAAGTCATTCTATGCAAATCACCAATCAGCTCGAAAATCATTTCCGTAAAATTTAAACCCAAACAATAAAACAATTCTTTTTAAAATTAGCAGCAATTAGCAGGAAAGTGGGAAGCATTAGAATGTATTTTCCGATCAGTTCTGCTTAGTCGGGCGTGCCGATCAGCTGTTTCGAATGCGCACATGACGTATGGAAATATGTCCACCAGTATGCCACTTACTTTACTGGTAATTGTATTGAGCAACTGGATAAATGATAAAAGAGTGAGACAATAGTACAGTGAATAGTTTACCTTAAATATGGTTTGGCATGAGACTATTAATGTTTTATGTTCAATTAGCAAGTTGATGGGAGAGGCAGTATCCCTCCCATAAAACGTTGGTTTTCGAATAATAACTAACTATTGAAGTCAATAAAACTCATAAGAATATTTAAATTGCCTGAGAAACGAAAGCACTTACGCTGTGAGTCGTATTCCAATGAGTCATTTAAGGCTGCACTAATTTAGAGAGTTTAATCCAGAAATTCTGCTAAATTATCAATGTTGACAATTCCCGTCTCGTCTCGAACCCGATTTCAAGGTTATGCCAGCTTTTGCCATGCCCACGGCTGGCGCTGACATTCGAAGAATTATCATCCATGTGCCGCTGTAATGCGAAACTCTCAAGCGCACGCTCTCGTTTCAATTAAATTGCACTTTTTGTTGTCGTTGTTGTTGTCTGTCCGTCCTACTGTCCGACGCAGTATGGCAAAACAGTGGCGGAGACAGCTTTGGTAAACATTGGAGACATTATTTTCATGCTTGAAGACTTTTTTTCATTAGCCAAGCGGCGAATCGCTATCATTAGGTGGCTGGCGGTGTCGGTTTTCACTTCCCACCTCTGTCGCCGCAGCCACCGCTGCTGTTGCCGCTGTTGCCGCTACTGCAGCAGCGCTGTCCCTGGCCCGGTATGATTTTCTAATCTATTGGCCAACGCAACGGTATTACATTACCTTCTCCGTATTATGCAAGCTGGCAAGAACACCTGTGACGTCAGCGCAGGTGGTTGCCATACCGCACTCGGCACTCGGCACTCAGCAGTAAGCTGGAGCGCAACTTTGGAGCTTAAAATATTTTCTGCTTATTTGGCAAGAAACATTTCTTTGATATGCGTCTGCCAAACTTTTGACAGGCGGTGACTCGGCGCCGGGGATTGTACTCGTCCTCCTCTCAATGGGGTGGCTTTTTGAATTTGGAGCCACGTGCGGGCGGCTCTGATTGGGATCCATTTCCTATACCATCCCATACGATGCTCGAACCAAATTTGCATGGGAATTGAAAGCACCCTTGAACTTCAAGGTCTTTCCAAGAAGCCACTAAGTACGAGTATGTCTTCAATTTAGACTGATTTCAGAGAACGTTGACTATTTCATAATTTGCACACTCCTTAACTGGATAATTGGGACAGGAGTATACAGATATGTACATATATGTATATATCAAATGGGTTATTTCAGCTGATACCTCCTTCAAGTTGCATTGTGAACATACATACATACATATATGTATATATACATATGTACGTAT